AACCTTTGAAGCACGTGAACAATAATGTTGAAAATGCTGATATTGATGGCATTGATAATGATATTCAAGATTCTCTTTGTGTAATCACTGAAAGCCCACCTCACTCTCCATTTAGTGAAATGTTAACAAATATTTTAGGAAATTTACATATCAACATAGAACATGGTCAGTTTTAAAAATACAAATAAATTTATTATATTTTAAATTAAAATATTAACTATTGAATCAAATTAGTACAAAGTGAAAAAAGTGAAACAATAAATTCAATATTGGAAATATCCAAATGATTATTAACACCAAACACATCAATCTTGGAAAGACAAGAAGCCTTAGAGGTCATGGTTACTCAACTAATCAATAATATTAAAATGTTACAATTTTCATATCAAAAGTTAAAAATTAAGAAAAATGATTGCGAATGGTGGCAGGTATATTATTGTGTTTTTATTATAATACTATGTATAGAATCGATTTTCCATTCTTGCTATCTATTAGCAAATGAAAAATTAAAGTCAGTATGAAATTTGAGGTACTTTGATTTAATAGTTATTTTAAAATATCAGTAAACTAATCTAAGTCTGAACTCTTTTATTATTATTATTATTATCGTTATACGAGTGGAAAATCTATTCTATACTATCTGCTTTATTATATTATCAAACAATTATACTATTTTACTTAAAATTTAGAAAGGGGTAATGCAGGGTATTAAGGTGGCTGTAGACAATTGGCTTTATCCTAATGATAAGGTTTATGAAGAAGCTATTCGAAAGGAACTTGAAATTCTCTGCCCAGACAAAATGGAATGATACAGAAAAGGCACTAAATGGGAGGCCCTGTTTAATAAAATTGACAATGTAGTAAGTATAATTGCAACAAGCTATTTAGAACTAATATTATTCAAATTCCTAATGGTCATTTTCCTGACAGGCTATCTAACCTACATCACACAGCATAATAATTTAATGTTTTATTAGTTGCAATTATATTTTATCAGTGAGTTTTCACACTTTATGATGTTGGTTAGATGTCCTGTCAGGGAAATGACCATCGAAAAATTTATATATAACTATTTAGAACAACTCAAACTATGTGATAATTAGCATATTGTTTTAGCAGTATTAAAACCGATGTGATATTAGCTTAAACTGTTATTATTTTATAATTTAAAACTTTAAATATATGTAGATCAGTACTGAATCTTGCAGATATCATGAGGCCTTATTTGGATCTTTCTGACGTGCCATGTTTGAACATGTTTTTAAGAACAAGGTTTCACCAACTGTCAATTCCAAGAGCTCTAAAGCTAATATATTGTCTTGAAAATCAAGTGATGATGTACGTTGGTACTTGGAAAACTTGGATACAATGATGAAAGAGGAAAAAATACCTACTTTCAAATGGTTACTAAAAGGGTGTTTGGTTGGCAAATTACCAATAACCAATATGCTGTTACACAGGCTGTCTTGCATAACCTTTTTAATCCTGAAATCATTAAAATCAAGTTTGATGAGAAATACTTAATGCGAAAGTTAC